TGGAGGAGATTTAGGTATGTCCCCCCACAGGGAAAAACCTCAAGACAGATCTTGTTGACAGGATCTGTCCTGGGAACACCTTGGGATCTTTTACGAGCAGCTGGAGAGTGCTGTTGGGTAGAGGGATGTGTGGGTGTCCCTCCTGGACTTGTTGGCTGTTTAATCCAACCAGACAAGCAGCAGAAAATGGATGGATGGATTTTACCATCATACTATCATACCCATTTAAGAAACAATAAACTGCAGTAGGAGTTAGGGAATTGCCTTCTGGCATAGGTCTACTTCAGTTTCTTACTTTCCAACTGATATTACTCATTGAAATCATCTCAGATGCTGCTCAACTACTTTTTGTTTTCTCCTAAGTTTATATTCTTGAATTCCTTGAAGGAATTCATATCACCTGTTCCCTTTATGCCACAATTCTACACAAAGTTCTCACGAGATGCAGTATGTTAGCACAAGAAGTGTTAAGGATGATTCTCAGCTGCTACCACCTCTAAGATGAGCTCACTATCTGTAAAACTGACTGAGGTATGGACCATTTTATATTTTTTATCTTGAAAAGCCATCGTGGCCATGCGGTTGACTGAAAAAGTTCATGCAGAAGATACATCCAGTGATTACTTTCTGGGAGGTTTATTAACGTCTGTCCAGTCATTCATGACATATTTTGCTAACAGACACTTTTTTTTTTTTTTTTACTTTCAAATGCTGAAAGTTTGAGTAAATTTCAGAGGGTGATACAATTAAAGAGGGACACTTGTCCTTTTAGTTGTTTGGGCAATAGGAAATCAAAAGGGAACCATTTTCAAAATTATGTTTTTGATGTTTATTGTGCACATAAGCACACGTAGCTTGTAATAAATACTCTACAAGTTGTTACCGCCACACATTTAGCAAAAAACAAAAACCAAAACAGTTTTGATCCTCTGTCCTAAATAAATGCCTCTCCATATTGACCAAGTGCAAACACACAAAGACATCACAGCCGGTTGACATGCAAAGTGACTGGAACAAATACTACACAAGCTCAGGTCATCCCACTACAGAGCATTGCATCTTTCTACCAGCGTTCAGTCTGTTCTTTCTCTAAACATCAACCAAACTAAACAGAAACCAGAACACACAGCAACAGGTTTTGGTTTCCAGTTGGAGCTGGTTTGGATCACGGGGCCATCAGAATAAAACAAACTATCCGATGGAGCTGAGGTAGCTCTCAGAGTCGACCAGCAGCAGGGGCTTTCCTCAACCTCAGGACAAAGGTTTGAGATAAAACTGTGGTTAGGCTGACCATCTGACCTTTAAACCAAGAACAAAGTGGGGATTTCAGAATTATTTTCACTTTTACTTCAAATTATGGTCAGTTGAAGCTCAAATATAATATTTTAGTAAACAAAATCCTTACAGAGGACACCTGCTTTCATGCTGGCTTATCTGAAGGACAGCGACAAAGAGGAGATGCTAAAAGCTACATTTGTTTATTGTTTAACTAATTGGTTTTTATGGTAACTCCATGGTTATGAATAAACATGGCTTCAGTCCTGGAATCATTGGTTTACAAGACTAAACAAAGAACACACCCATTCTTTCGGGTTTTGTTTTAAAGTGTTTACTTGTTGTATGAAACTAAGATAGTATAATGTATGATTTGTCTTAAATTTGCCAACATGTTTTTTCTGTTTACATTTACACTACTGTTCATATTCATACCACTGTTTATATTCAAACTACTGTTCATAGTAATACTAGTGTTTATATTCAAACTACTGTTCATATTCAAACTACTGTTTATATTCATACTACTGTTCATATTCATACCACTGTTCATATTCATACCACTGTTCATAT